TTATTTTAATATTAAATTAATTAATTAGCTAATGAATCATCTCGATCTCTTCTATTCTTAATTAATAATTAAATTCTTAAATTGTTCTAGGAAGAAATATCATTCTCAAATTTTATAATCCACTTTCCATAGAGACATGGAATCATTTTAAAAACTTCTTTGCTCAAAAAATTAACAAGAAGCAAAACAAAGGAAAGGTAAGGCATTTTTATTTTCATTATAAATTGTTGTCTATTCTATACATTAATGCAGTAGAAAATGGAATATAAAAGTTTAGAATCCTGATTGATGAATCTAAGAATTTATTGTAGTAGAATGATGTTTGAATAATAATTTTATTCATTTGCCATTTAGAATAATATGAATTACAATTTTACTTAGAAAAATTAATTTATTGTTAAAAAAACAGAACTTTACAACTTATGTATTATTTATTTCAATGACACAGATAAATTTTAAAAAAACATGTTGAACACACTGCAAAAACAATCCATTCAAACTTCACACCAATGCACTTGATTGGTTAGGTACCATTGGCAAAACTCCAAATTATCTAAAATTATTAGGTAGTCCTCTCAGCTGTCGACAGTTATATTTCTATCTCTATACTAGCTGTTTCTATACTTTCCTGTTGACAACACATACATCTCTTGCTGTGTGATGGGCTGGTGTGGCATTGCCTGCCTTGTTGGTTGTACCCAGAGATGTCTGCTTCTTTGTGTGGTGATGTTGACCAATGTAATCTGCTCCATCATACTATCTGTCCATTTGTTTATCACCTCTTGGAGAGTGAATTCCATCACCTCTACAAGTGTGGCAGGGTTATGTGACAAAATAAAGAGACAGGTTTGGAGGATCGAACCCTCCTGAAGGAAGGGATATCTAAAGGTTGAGATCAGACTCAGGGTCTGTAGTCTCCCACCAAACACAAAATGAAATGAACCCCAAACCTTGAAAAGCACCACAAGGACTTCTTTAAACTCTCTGTATATGCTTCAAAAGGAATAATTTCAAGTCTTTTAAACAGGTCTCTGAAAACTCAACTTTATAAAGATGATCATTTCCTGATAACTCCACTAGCTCTCTTTGATACTTTCTCTAACAATTGAAGGAAATACTGTGCAGAAGGTTAATGCTGACCCCAAGAATAGCAGTAATGGGGCAATGTATACTCTACCAGTGCCAGTAGTACTTTCTGAAGTTGACTTTTGTTAATCAATTTTTCAGATAATCAACTCTACTGTATAGTGAAAAAATTTTGAATTCCTAGTTTGTTGCCCATATGACTAATGCTTTAAGAATTCTTGACCTAAGAAAGTTCATTGTAAGAAAACTTTCATTAATCTAAAATAGTTTTCTGGACCTTATGCTGAAATTCCCTGGTATAGAAAAAAATTGATGGAATCGGAGAATTGAATGACAGGAGTTGGGAAGTGTCAAGGATGTCCACCCAAAAGAAACTGCCTGAAAGACCTGTCAAATCAAGGAACTGACTTTAGAGTTTTTTTGAATGGGTTGATCGGATAGTTGGTTACATACTACATATTCAGAATGTTCTGGAAAGATCCCAAAAAACAAACACTGAAAGACCTATAAATAGTTTTGTGATCAATACTAGGGAACTGCCAAACAGGAAGATAACAGAAATGATGCTGGGAAGTTACATGAAGGAAGAGGAAAACAGAGAGTCTCAGTTCAATGCATCCTTACCATACTGTAGTTATGGTTCTTCAGTAATTTAAAGTAAGTAATGTCATCAGACAAAAACACTGAAGGGAAAAAACATCATGGTGGAGGTGTCTCCTAGTCTGTCAATGATTTTAAAAGTTCATTCCAAGATTGAAAGGAAATTCAAAATCCTTAATGAGATCCTTAATTATTGATTGCTGGAGTGTGAGCATTTGTCAAACCATCAATCCATAAATGATGGAATAAAAGTGGCATTATTTCACCTGACCTGGATGAGAAAGGAAATTCAGCAGAATCAGGGATTCAGGCAGTACAGATGTTGCTGTGAAGACTGGCATTCATTGAAGCATTCACTTTGTCGGAGTAAACAAGAATTTGTTTGTTTTGTTACTCTCTAACAAAAATAAGTTCTAAATGATTGAGATAGAGTATATTGAGATTAAGAGTAGCTAATATGCAAATAAGTAATATTTCTTTTAGCTAAATTTGGGACATTGATTAAACTCAGTTTACAGCTAAAAATTACAAAATGCAATCATATAAGAGCGTAAATTTTCAAACAGTTTATTAAAGACTTTAATAATGCAATAATACAAACTATACCAGTCAAGACAAAAAAGTCATATCACACAATCAGTTAATTCCAAAATATTTTTATTATAGAGTTATTCTTTGCATAAATTCTGAGAGGGATATAATGTATTTACCTACTTTTAATTATCTTTTGTAATTACTGTTTATGTATTATTATTGATATAATGTTAATGATTATAATTATAAAGTCTGTGTGGGTTCACACACACACATACATAGCTTTGGTGTTGTATTTATTGGATTTAGATTTTTTGAACCTTAAAATTAGATAGTGTAATGGCAAATTCTGCTAATACTCCTAAACTTTTTGCATTCACAAAGAGCCATAAATCAGGCAACACTACATGAACTGTAATGCCATACTGCATACTTGCCTTTTAGAAAATGCTATTCATAATCTATTTAAAGATTATTTAAAAACCTATAGATTATCCATCAGTAAAACAGAGCAAATAATTGATGATTTGTGGTAGTCAACTTATAGGAGATGTTTATATTACAGTCTTAGACTTTATACTGTATCTGTGTGCCACTTAATACAAATTACAACAAATTTTTGCCCTCTTAGACATTTATTACATAAAAGCAATAAGCAAGTCAATTGCAAATTTATCTTGATATAAGCACATATTTCATGCTATTCCTCTTTCTTTCACTATGATTACAAGACATATGTTCAAAAGAGAGGGCACCTGTGGATAGCCTCTTGTCTGGGGTCCTTTGTCAGATATAATATTATTGGAAAAATGATTTTATCAACTCTACCTTGTATGCTTATGTGCAAAAGATATGTGGAAGATATCTTTATTATATGGAAAACAAAACCAGATATAAATGGCTTCATACAACAAATGAATGACAATCCTTATGNATATAGCAATATTTTTAAAAGTAAGTTTTTGAGCTTTTACATGTTTCCTTTTTAGTAAGGAGAATGATGCATCCAATTCACATATTTGGTATTTTTTAATTTATAGGATGAAGAAGAAGATGAGGAAGAAGAAGAAGATCTAAAGTCAGTTACAGAAGAAGAACCATTTCTTGGAAGGGGTAGACGAACTGCAATTTTAGAATCCAAACTTAGAGTAAGAAAAAAATTACATATTTTCTGATAATTTATAACTTTTGTTATAAATTTAAAATTTTTTTCTGTAATAATTGATGGATTTCATCATATTAGTCAATATGATGAAATCCATTTTAGAAGTTATCATCATCATTATTAATTTTATTAGTGATGCTAATCATTTATACTAAATGAAATGAGTATTAACCTGCACTACTGCATGTAATCACATGCAATTTTGCACATGTACTAGTTTTTCCCCCTCCAAATTGATTTACTTAGCTGCTGTTCTATGATCCTTGTGTCATGCTGTATCCTCTCCATCTGTGTACAAATTTTGGACCAAAACAAAAAAAGCTTTTTTCTGCTTGTTGCACATCCTCAAACTTGCAGAAAATTGCTGCTTTCTACATGTGATTGCATACAATCTTTGTGACACATTCACATGTTAAAAGCAGCAATTTTCTGCTGTGACGTCATTAAATTAATGTTATGTTTAGGTCTTACATGATTACCACAAGAGTTTTAGCTATGCATGACTTGACATATGGTCTGCAACTCTCTATAACCTTAAATGCTTATCTCCATGCTATAAACTTCAACAATTTAAATGTTTTTGTGGTTTTATTTCATTCCCAAAAAATACAGTAAGATTATTTTATGGTCCTTCTGAAAAACATCTCGGTCCTCCCATCACTATTTTCAGCTGAACTTGTTTCACATTAACTCTTGAAACTTTGTGATAGTTTGGGCTAATGTGAAATACAAGAAATGACAGTTACATACACTGTAATTATGTGTGAAAAATTAGCAGAAAATCACCATCTTATAGACGCTATCCTGTATAAAAAGAACTGCATGTGCAAGGGTTAAAAATTAATGTCAGCAATTCAATCTACTAAACATTTTAATATTTTAATTGTATCTTGTGTAGGAAAACAATCAGAAGTAGCTATTTGCTTAATGTTAAAAAATTTATATTGGTGCTATTAATTTAATCTATAAATCTATCAGTCTTTTATATTAATAATTTAGAATTTTACCCTAATGCCATTATCATTAGGTCCAGATTGAAAATTCTCAGTTTTATTGAATGTATTAAATACTTTGACTGTTTACTTTTTTACATATACTTCTATGGATCCATTCGTTCTTATTTGCTGTGCCTAAGAGTTTTGCCAAAAGTTACTTGTAACCAAAGTTGGTTTTTTATAACTCCATCTTTTAGGCTTTCCATTTCTTTCAGATTATTTTTGTATTGATCTGTTTAGAATATGGGCTGTGTGGAACAATCTCTACATGAAAATTTTCTACATTTTAAACACATTTGTAAATGGTTACTTTATAATACATAATCATTTGTTTTTATTTTCGTATATTTTTTATCATGTATCTTGATTATTATCCTTTTTTATTTGTCTTTTAATCTTTTGTTATGGATGTTATTTTTGGATATCAATTGTCTTGTGACATTTTCTTTTGTATATGCAATAAATAAATAAAATAAATTTTTGATTTTTATTATAGTATTAGTATTCATTTTAAAATAATTCAACTGGATATTAAGATACTGGGCATTTCATAAGTTTGGAAAAAGATGGGGCAATACTTTGTACAGATAAAATGAAGACTTGATACTGTATTTGAAATAATTGTCAGGGAGAGAAATATGTTAACAACTATGACAAAGAATAAGTAAAATTTTTTGTAATCAGTAAAACTATATAATCATGATCAGTAGTTCAGTTGACAAATAATTTTTTTATGTAAGAGAGTTTTCTTGAACTAGTATCTTTCAAACAAAAATTTCTATTCATTTTTATGAAAAATAACTTTATTATTGACAGAAGCTGTTGTTAATTTTTAATTTTTTCAAGACATTAAATTTATTGCTGTTAAGTGATCTTCGTATCTGATTCATTATCATTTAAACATTTGCAGACTATACAAACCACATGTATTATTTATTCTCATTTAGCTTGTCAAGTAAACTCCTACATAATAGTATTTCAAAACACATTTCTTTGGATTTACTAAAATTTTCAGGTGTTATAAGAAGAAAAACTTTTTATTATAGATTTCAACTTTAATTTTGAAATTTTGTATCTCTAAAATTTCCTTAAATGTATAATTTGAAAATTTTTCATCTAAATAAATTAGTATTTTTGCATTTCATTGTAGACAGAACAGCCTTCAGAAGAAAAGAGAAAACAACACCAAAAAGAACTTGCTGAACAATTAAATAGAGAAGCAAAAGAAAGATTAGCACAACAAAAAGGTGTTCAAAAAGAAGAAAAGTGAGTTCAGTAGTAATGAGTAGTAAAATATCAAAATTAAATTAATATTTATTTTGCAAATCCTATTTACAAAATTTTGTTTTAAATGAAATTTAAGCTTCACAAATTATTCATATGGAAATTTGTTTTATAATATAGTACTCCTGTTGCAGGAAATCGTTTTCATATTACAGTCATCTTATTGTAACTTATTTTTTAATTCTCTGACATTGGCTTTGAATAAGTGTTTAACTTTCTAGACAGAGATACATTTTGACAGTAAAGTGGGTGATCGGTTAACGAACATAATCTGTTCCAAGACTTTGTTCATTATCCAAATTGTTCGTTAATCGATTATTGATTTACCATAGGTTTTTATGGGAATTTGATTGATTTGTTTTGGAGACTCCAAAAAATAAAAAAATATATATATACTTTCTGCTATGTTTATTTATATGTAATAATAAAAATACATATTTATTATAATGACTAATAAAAATAAATTTTTATTAGTCATGTTTTTTCCATTTGTAGGGGTTAAAGAATCTGTCCAATGTCGATTGCTCTTCTCTCTTCTTCAGGATTTTTCGGAAGTAATTAATAGCATTGTCATTGTATAGATCCCCAAGCCTATTAACCTCAATTGGTTTGGATGCCATTCTAAGACCTTTGTTCTGACATCCTTCCACTTCTTCAAAAGATCTTTAATAGCAAATGTTGGCATTGATCCTTTTTCATCTTCCTCTTTTTCCAAAGAAAACATGTCTCACTGAGTTTTTTTGGTGTTCTTCATTTAAGCGTTCTTGGAGTTCTTCTGTCATCAGATCAGTTTCAGATTTCATTATGAGCTTTTCAATGTCATCTTTATTCACTTTCAATTCAAGATCTCTAGCAGTTGTCACAATTTCATCCATAATTTTAGGGACATCATCTTTCTTTCCCTGAATGCAGGAGGGACACAGGTTTTTCCAAGCAGAAATCAACTGTTGTTGAGTGACTGACCATGCCTTTTCAATGAGCCATATAGCTTCAAGAATAACAAATTTTTCTTTCCAAAACGTTTTTAACATCATCATTGAGGAGAACTGGCATGCTTCAAAACACTGACAAAACAGTGCTCAAGTGTACAATTTCTTGAAATCTGCAATAACCTCTTGATCCATTGGTTGAATTAACAAAATGGTATTCAGAGGTAGAAACTGAACTGTCAGCCAGGGAAAGTCTTCCAGCAAATTATCTTCAAGGTCTTTTGGGTATTCTGGTGCATTGTTCAATAGCAACAGTGCTTTTAATGGCAATTCATTGGTCTGAAGGTAATCTTTGATGCTTGGAGCACAAACTTCAAAAAGCCATTCTTTGAAAAGAGCCTGCGTGACCCATGCCCTTGAATTCTATCTCTTCATGTAATGAATATGGAGTTTGTTTCTTCAGTTCTTCAAAAATTTCTTTAGCTTTCTGTTGAATGATAGTCATAGTAGTTACATCTTTTTTCATTTCCTTTTCTTTTATCCAAATTAAAAGCAATCTCCATTTTTTCATGGATAGAACATCTTTGTTTCTCAGATGTGATTTTCATTACTCCTTTAGCTCTTTGAGTCTTCTTGATTATATCTTTCTTAGCTAAGATTGTGCCTGCTATAGACCTGTTCAAGCCATACTGCCTAGCAACATTAGACGTCTTCTGCCCACTCTCTACTTTGGCTATTATCTCTTGCTTGGTTTCTATGGTGAGCACAGTTCTTGACACTCCACTCTTTTTAGGCTCCATAATATTATCAATTTCTTTTTGAAATAAAAAGTTCAAAAAAACACTCACAAAAATTCAGAGAACAGAAATCAACTAGCACATGAAAGAATTATGTAAATGTGAGGCCCGAATGTAGTGCAAAATTTTGGTGTTAAAACGTTAATGATAGGACAGTTAAACTCTCACCTTTAGAAAATAAAAACCGACGCAAAACTTATGGGTTGCCTGACAGTCTTGCAAAGACTATAAAAAGTTACTTGTTGGAAAAGTAAACAAAAAGCTGGAATTACAATGGAGAGTTTCAAAGTTTGGGGAAACACTATTTAATCAGTATTGGGTTGAGCATCAATGTTGACATCTCCCACGCTCTGAAAGGTTTCAAATTGTTACCTGAAAACAAGGGAAAATCAATCGGTATTCGTTATTTTCTGTCACTTCTTTTTGTTTGTTCAGTGAAGTGTTCGTTGTCTGATCATAAAAATTTTTTGCAAAAGTGATCGTTATTCGATCTGTTCATTAACTGATCACTCACTGTAATTCCTGTAAAAAAAATTATCTTTTTTGTTAAACTCTTCCAAACAAATTATATATTCTCTTATTTTTTTTTTCTTTTTATTTTAGTGGCAAAACCAAANGTGTTCGTTGTCTGATCATAAAAATTTTTTGCAAAAGTGATCGTTATTCGATCTGTTCATTAACTGATCACTCACTGTAATTCCTGTAAAAAAAATTATCTTTTTTGTTAAACTCTTCCAAACAAATTATATATTCTCTTATTTTTTTTTTCTTTTTATTTTAGTGGCAAAACCAAAATTTGAAGCTAGTTTATTTTGAAATTTAAGACATTTAAATATTTTATTTACATAATACATTTTCATAATGTTGTTCATATCAAATAATGTTGCTGATAAATCGAATAATATACATTTAAAAAATTGCTAATACAAATTATTATTATGTTAATTGAATAATATGTTTTATCATCTTTAAATTCCTAAGATGTTCTAAATTTTATCTGCTTTCAGAGTAAGAAAATCAAATATTTCTTACAAATCTGTTGGTCAGATTCCTCGAGAACCTGAAGTTACAGAATTAAAAATTTTTGTAGGTTAGTAATATTTTCAATACATATGTAATATATATATTTTATTTTACTTAATTATTAGTTTTAAGTTTAGTTAATTTGTTAAATAAACTGTGATGGTTTCTGTGGATTTTTATCTGAAAATTTATTTTTTACATAAATTTAGATCTCACAAAGAATTACATAAATCAAAAGACAAGACACAATTTAATGATTTCCTGTCAAAAAGTATTTTTTGTTAAATACAAGTTTTGAATATACAAAACAGTTATAACATGATAATAGTAAAACAATGTTTCAATTTATTTGTAATTTTATTAGCTATATATATAATTTAATTTTTATCACAGTAAGGCTGTTTCAAAAAAAAAAGTTTTTGTGATTANTTCCCACCTGATCTGTGCTCAATCAAAACTGTCATTTATAGAAACAAAAGCTAAAAATAATAGATTTTATGATTCTTTTAAAAATTCTAGATATAATAATATTTGAGTAGTTTTGTTTTTATTTTTCATTGCTATTACATTATTGCTTCTTTTAAAAAGTAAATGCATATAATGTAGAACAATTGCTTTTTAAGTGGTCAAGAACAAATTTTACAGCTAATCACAGAAAAAAATGCATGCAAATTGCCTACTATAGTAATCCATGCGTTAGACTTTGTGATACAATGCAATATTCCTGCTGCAAGGTTGAAAGATTTTTAATTTATTCTTGCAATCAAAAATATATTGTGTTACAGATTTTAAAATATGTACATGCTATTTGAATAAATATTGTTTTATCATATTGATATTTTTTTAATTGTTACTTATTTTCTATGAATTGTTTAAAATACTTAAACAGAATTTCTTCAATTTAGGGAATTGTGAAACAAGATACCTTAATGTTAAGTACAAATAAAGCCAATCCTAAGTTGAAAGATCTTTACATTCGACCAAATATATACTCTAAGAGAATTTCTGGAACTTTAGAAGCTCATATGAATGGTAATGTATCTTTTATATAATTGATAACTTATAAATTATTATAGCTTAAAAAGAGAGAGAAATAAATTTTTAAATAATTTGCATGAAAATCATTACAATAAACAGATTATTTTATAATATAAAATTATTATTGTTTTAAATTTTGGTACTGTCATATTTTTGCCAATTTTTATCATGTTTGTGCACATGAAATAGTCTTTGCAGAATAACATGTTTCCAAATTTCAATTTTTTAAGTATATTGTTTTATTTTCAGTTAAACTTTAAATTGGAGTGTACTTATTTTTAATTAAAATATCTTAATGTTTATTTACTATATTTATATTAAATGCTAATAACTTAAATTTATTACACTAAAATTCATTTTTTAGAACATCAGTCAGTCTGTGGAGGGTGATTACACGTATCTTCGTGTTAATTTTTTCCATCCTGGTTCTGCACTTGGCAGGAATGAAGGGAATGTGTTTCCTAATCCAGATGCAACATTTCTCAAAGAAATGTAATATATTAGTTTTAAATTAATTTTATCTTACAGAAAATTTACTGTTTAAAAAAAAATCAAATAAAAGTTAATGTTTAAATATTGTGTGCAGAACCTATCGTAGTACAAATGTGAAAGAACCAGGCGAAATCTCTGCACCTTCTTCAAATTTGAACACTGCGTTCAGATTAATCAAAGAAGTTCAGAAAAAGTTTAAGACAAGAGAAGCTGAAGAAAGGGAAAAAGAGGTATACTTTATTACAAAATAATTGTGTTCATAAGGCTTTATTACAAAGATAAGTTAATTTATGTAGCAAGTTGTGTCTGTCTGTCTGTCTGTGTGTGTATTAAGCATTTTTACTATACTCATTTTTTTCTGCTTAGACTAGTGGTTGATTTTTTTTCTATTCCAATAACAACAGTTTACAGAAATTTTTATTTTTTAATTGCATAAATTATTTAATGTACATGAGAAGAAGTTAAATAGGAATACAGTCGACTTCCCTATAACATGGTAGATATGTTACATTCTTTATGAATTGATTTCTTACGAGTCCTTGCCAATCACAGCTCGACACGTGTGAAGTTTATGGACTACAGCTGTTTGAAAGGTTTTCTTCCATAAAATTAATCAATTCTAGACTAATTCAACTTAACGTTTCCAAAATACGTATATTTTTTTGGGAATAATCCGTATAAACTATGCTATAAACAAAAAATTGTAGGATTACTTACCGAGTATGCACCGCTTGACGTCGCCATTGCTCAAGCTTGTTTTCGTTGCGGAGCAACGCACCGCAACGAAAACAAGCTTGGCCGCGATTTCTGATAAGTTATTTTTCTGCGAAAACTTCATTGAACTTTGAAGACATCCATTAATATAAATAATTTTTATGGCCGTTGAATAAGAAATGTTTCTTTCACAAGAAATGTATAAAATTACAGTACTGTATTAGACTTACGGTACCTAATTTACATACTGTACTGACGATAGTAAACAACTTACTCGCCTAAACTCTCCATAGTGTGGCACTGGACGGCAGAAAGTATATATATAATTATAATAAAGTTACAATAAATTAAGTTAATATATAATTATATATACAGTACCTAATTTATATATAATACTGTACAGACGATAGTAAACTCAATTTACACGCCTAAATTCTCCGTAGCGTGGCGCTGGATGGCGGAAAGTAGTTCAGCTGCTCGATGATGTTTTATCGAATTATAGGAGTTTATTTACCAGGTTTGTACGGATACCGTTGCAATTTTTTCACCGTCTGATAAGAATTGTAATTATAGGAACCCGTGTTATAGAGGGGTGTACTGTAGTTAAAAATAACTATTATTATTGTTGAATTATTTTACTTATGTACTTTTGATAACTATTCTCAAAACTATAATGTTACCTCATTATTATCATAAGTATTATTAAATTATTGTGAAACTTCTAGTTAATATTAAAAATCATTTTATTTTTAACCTTGTAGGGGTGTGAACTACTATTGTAGTCCATGTACTTTTAAATATTTGCTATTTTTGTAAAAGTTCAAATAAAAACTTGGGACCATCACTAGCTGTCTTTTTATAAACTACAAATAATTTTTAAAAAATTTTCTTCTTTTTTTTAAAATTATTTGTAGTTTGCTACATACATAGTCCAGCTACCTAAATGCATAACTTTTTAATTTTTTTCATCTCTAATTATATGGCTATACTTATAATAACTGAGATGTATTTTAACATTTGGTGCTTAGAAGAATGCTTTTTATTTGTTCATAGAAAAAGTACATCTAGTTGGTCAATAATATTGCAAGGAAAAATGAGTCATTGTTATGTCTTTCATTAAAACTTTGTGATGTTGGCAGGGAAGTATCCTATACAGGGGATTTCCCACCTGATCTGTGCTCAATCAAAACTGTCATTTATAGAAACAAAAGCTAAAAATAATAGATTTTATGATTCTTTTAAAAATTCTAGATATAATAATATTTGAGTAGTTTTGTTTTTATTTTTCATTGCTATTACATTATTGCTTCTTTTAAAAAGTAAATGCATATAATGTAGAACAATTGCTTTTTAAGTGGTCAAGAACAAATTTTACAGCTAATCACAGAAAAAAATGCATGCAAATTGCCTACTATAGTAATCCATGCGTTAGACTTTGTGATACAATGCAATATTCCTGCTGCAAGGTTGAAAGATTTTTAATTTATTCTTGCAATCAAAAATATATTGTGTTACAGATTTTAAAATATGTACATGCTATTTGAATAAATATTGTTTTATCATATTGATATTTTTTTAATTGTTACTTATTTTCTATGAATTGTTTAAAATACTTAAACAGAATTTCTTCAATTTAGGGAATTGTGAAACAAGATACCTTAATGTTAAGTACAAATAAAGCCAATCCTAAGTTGAAAGATCTTTACATTCGACCAAATATATACTCTAAGAGAATTTCTGGAACTTTAGAAGCTCATATGAATGGTAATGTATCTTTTATATAATTGATAACTTATAAATTATTATAGCTTAAAAAGAGAGAGAAATAAATTTTTAAATAATTTGCATGAAAATCATTACAATAAACAGATTATTTTATAATATAAAATTATTATTGTTTTAAATTTTGGTACTGTCATATTTTTGCCAATTTTTATCATGTTTGTGCACATGAAATAGTCTTTGCAGAATAACATGTTTCCAAATTTCAATTTTTTAAGTATATTGTTTTATTTTCAGTTAAACTTTAAATGTTTTAAAAGTTATACTAATTATGTCAAATTTTGAATTTAAATCATCTCATTTACTTGATAAAAATTTCTTAGTTTAATTATGTTAATACTCAGTAACAGTAAGGGGGAAAAATTGATTTTATATTTATGAAGTAAATGTAATTTAGATATTATTCTTATTAATATCTGTAATTAACTAAAATATTACAGATATTAATAACTCACTTGTTTGAAACACACTTTATTAGTTTAAATAGACATAATTTAATTCTTTTTAATTGCCTTTGTGAGATCACATGCAAGGGTTTGAACCCTCTAGTCATCGAGTCATTAAGACACATTCACTTTGTCACTGGATGGCTTTTTATAGAACATCCTCAGGATCTTTTTATCCTTCAGACATCAGGACTGACACCAGCTAGGGAAAGATTTTGCGTCCTGACTCATGATGTTACATGCTATATTTAAATGGAGGGCTATATTCTATTGAGCAGGAGGAGGCGTGAATAAGTTCCGATCATAGTGGGGTGGATTCCGTACTTAACTAACAGGGAATCAACAGTTAAACAATAACAACAAAGGATTTAATGAATAAATAAAACAAAGGTACATAAATCAAGATACTTAATATATAACCTATCATAACCTCTAAATCTAAAATACCCCTCTAAATAAAACCGGGAGAAAGAGTTTACAATCGATAAAAATAATGATAATACCTTAGTAGATTAATCTTGGAGAATACAAAATTCTTCTGGCAGCTTCCTCCTGGTCTTGGACTCACTCAATATGGTGTGTTTCTAATTCTATTGATTGCCATAAATTATGTGGCAAATCTGTTCTTCTGCCTGTTGTTTATGGCATGTTCGAATTAATTGGGAACTGCCTCGAACTTGTGAATTTTTTCCCTATTTATTCTCAGTTTTTACCACTCAGATTGTAGGATTCTGATTGTCTGACTAGACACACATCTAATGCAAGAGACAGATTGTCGTCCGATAAATTAGATAAGAACTTTCTAAGAGAAGTTCTGCTTCCCTTTCGACGATTTTTGGTCTATTTTATAGATGAAATATTACATAAAGATTATTTATCAAGTGGGAAAATCTAAGAATGTGCTGAATAAAATGAATGAATTGTTCTCTGCTCTTGCATTCTCACACCTTTGTTTTTGATTGATAAAATGATTTCAGTATCACCCATTAAACATTTAGTTTTATTTTGTAAGTTATTAAATATCATTTTACCTTCTGTACATTTTTAAAATTAAAATTAACCTGAATTTCATAAAAATGTAGCTTAAATCTTTGATATAAGCTATTTATATAAGCCTATATTATGCAACAAACATCAGAAAATATAAAAATGCAATATACAAAAATTAAAACTGNACTGGCCTTATTGTTATGATTACAGATTCTTCTTATACTTTTCCAATTTTTATTCATTAAAAAAATGATGTCCTGGAATGTATTTCAGCTTATTCAACAGCCCTCTTTAGTCAGGTTACATATATACATTTTGACAACATGGTATGATTGAAAGGGCTGTGATGAACCTGAAATTATAACAATAAGGCCAGCAGGCTCATAGTTATTTATTACTAATTAATAGATAATAACAGATCAGAAGCTTATATTGAACTTATTAACATAAAATGTTATTTATAAAAAAAATTATTTTAATAAATTTGATATTTAGCCACATTATTGCTAATAATTACAATTACTGCATTTAAATTTTGTGTTTAATAAAAAAAAAATAGCTTGCATAAACACTGCATTTTATTTTAACTCTTACTGTATTGAAATCCCTAGAAATAAATTTTTATTAAATTTATTATATTTATCCCATAATAATCTGCTTTCATTAATAGCAAATTTTTATGAACTTAATTATTTATTTTTTTAGGATTTCGCTTTACTTCATTGAGAGGAGATAAAGTAGATATTTTATATAACAACATAAAGCATGCTTTCTTTCAACCATGTGATGGTGAAATGATCATACTCCTTCATTTTACTCTCAAGGTAAAAAAAATAACAAGTTTAACTTAAATTTTTTAACATAAGATTTAATAAGCATGCAATGTCTCTATTACTAACTTTATAAAATAATTTATATGAGCTACTTTTCTACAGTCTACATTTTGATTATTATTCACCAACCATGCATGTAGTGTAAAATAAATGCATGAAGACCTTTAGCAAATTTTATAGAATGTAATTACAACACAAAAGTTAAAAATGTCAGTAAATAATAATAATATACAATACTGTTAAAGGGATTTATTGGAAGTTTGTCATAAAAGAATTCTGAGCTCTTAAAAATATTAAATTTCTTTTTTTAATGAAATAACATTATATACTAATTGGACTATAAGATGTTTATTGTATTTATTTTTTTTATATCCAATATCTATTGATTTAGGAGAAATTCTTCTATCTTAAATTTATATAGATCTTTATTTTTAAATAGTATTTTTTTATTTATTTTTTTCTTTTTTAATTTTATAATGGCTTTCAATTCTGTTGTTAAAATGCTAGTTGAATTTATATATTAACATATATTGTAAAATAAACATAGATGATATTTATGAATAGTGTACATATTAAGTTGTATGTACACAGGTACAATTTCTTATAAAAAAAATACCCAAGACAGAATTTATTTCTAGGAAAATAAAAGCAATCGTCAGTTTCTGGGTGTTATTCTCTTCAAAGTACAACATTCCAGATTGTATGTAGTGATTCCATTCCAGTATGTAGTGATTTCAGCAATCATTACAGTTTCTTATGCACGTCTGAAAAGTCTGAGAATGTCCCACAGTTGTCATGTCTTATTCAATTGTACCTCTGTGATGTCTTGGTATTGTTTCTTCTTCGAGATGTTTTTGAGCTGAGAAATAAGTCATCACACGGGGGCCAAGTCTAGTGAGTAAGATGGATGGGGAACTGTGAATATGCTATGCTTAGTCAAATATTCCAAGACATCCAGGATTGTGTGGCACACTATATTGTCATAGTACAGAAGCCAGTTACCAGCAGACCATTTGTCAGGGCATTTCCAGTAAATTGTATTTTGACAATGCTGCAAAACAGTTCTCTAGACAGTCTGGCAATCAATTGTCTCATTAATTCATTCTATTGCTCAGTCTGCATATCAGTCATTATCGATTGAAGTGTAGCAGTTTTTGAAATGTAAATACCATTCATTTATTTTGGACTGACTGAACACTGTTTCTCCAAATTCTTGTTTAAGCATTTTGTATATTTTGGTGACTATCTTATCAATTTTTTAGCAAATTGATGTAAATACATTGCTTGTTTACCTCATTCATTTTGCAACATGACAGAGAAATAATACCTGCACTGTAACTCATCTCACTGACATTGTGCTGCTGTAGCACATGGTGTCAGGAGATACAGTTAAACATCCTCCATGTCACATCATTACTATTAGTAATTTCTGTATACAAACTTCTGCCCTGAATATTTTAATTAGCCCATGTATATATGTACTTTGAGAATATTGTTTTGAGTGATATTATTTCTGTAAATTTAAATTTATATATTATTTGTTAAAAAGTATAAGCATGATAAATATTCTTTTATAAAAATATATATAAAGGAATATTTTATATTGTGTTGTTTTTGTTTTTATTATATAATAGATGATACATAACTATCATCTATTATACAAATGTAGTAATGTTACCATCTTTTTGTATTTACAGCATTTCTTGCTGTAGTTTGCTCATTACATAAAATAGTGCCTAAAATATAATTTTTAATTGAAATTACTAACACTACAGTTCATTTACTGAATATTAATTTCTTGTTTAATATGTTATTTTTTAACATCAGTTTCTCAATTTCTGTTAATTTGAATTTATAAAATTTAAATACATGTATGATAAAATATCAACAATATTTGGCTTTAAAGTAGTTTAGAAAAAAGTTTAAAATAATTTAGAGATTAATCTAGTTTGGTTGTTTTCATGCTGCTTCTAAATAATCTTTGTAAATTGTAAATATCAATTATTAACTTAATTTTTAAAAGAGACTTTATTTCGTTCTCAGAATGCAATTCTGTTTGGAAAAAGACGTCACAATGATGTTCAATTTTATACAGAAGTAGGAGAAATTACAACCGATTTGGGAAAACATCAGCATATGCACGATCGTGATGATCTTGCTGCTGAACAGGTAAGCTAGCACAAATTTTGTCAAATTTAAAAATAGAATTATTAATAGAAAATGAAGTTTTATAATCAAATTATGAATAAATGTCATTTTTCTTAAAATTTACTTAGTTATTTCTGAAGATTAAATTATTTTTATTTTTAGTGTTATTATTATTTTTTTTTTTTGACCTCAACTAATAAAGGAATTTGATGGAAAATTTGCCATGTATCTTTGGAATAAAACACCATACTAGTGTTTACTACGCCACAAAGTTATTATTATTATTATTATTATCAATGTCTTTAATTTTTATTTTTATACAAAATGGAGTTTGCTATTTCTTAGACAGGTGATAATTTATTGGTTTTTCTTAGTTACTGAGTGATACTGTCTCCTTTTTAAAATTTCTCTTGTATGCACATTGTAAATATAGGATTTTTAAAAATATTTTTTGAGCTTCTTCAATGAAATTTGTATTTTGGCTCCAGTTTTGCTAAAATATAAAAAGTTCATCTAAAGGAATGAAAATTTCATTCTTTGAAGATGCAAAACTACAGGAAGCCAAATTAAGGAAACAAAAGTTCATGATCTGCTGCTACTGTGTTTTATTTCTGACTGACAATTAAACCTGCAAAGTTTTCAGTTAAATATCTTTTAGTTAATATAATCTGTTAATGAAATATATAATTAACATTCTGGACACATATTTCTTAACAAACTAGGTAATTAATTTCTTTATTATCCAAAATGGTAGATATTTCAATGATACTTATGAAAACAAAGTTAAAAATTCAGGTTCTTCAATTGGAGATCATGTAGAATTGACCTGATGGCTGAATTTTTGAGAATCCCTGGCTTAGACTAATTTCAAATAAAATTTTTCATACATTGAATCTTCCTTAATGCAACATTACAAAAATCATAAAACATCTTAAATATGAATTTGATCACAATGCCATTAAATAAAACAATAAAATAAACAAACAGTAAGTTTATTACCTGACATTTTCTAGATTAACATTGTCATTATATTGGCATTTGATATGATATACTATTCTATTCTAAGGTCTAACTTAGCAAAACAAAAGTTTGAAATATGATCAAGAAAGAATTAAATATGCTCATCTATCATAGATTGGAATGATAAATTTAAATATTTCTAGTATTTGTTGGGATTGCTTTTGGAAATATTGTGTTTGCTAATTTGTCTCAAATTTTTCAGCTTATCTTCTATTGAAAAGTTTTATTTGTATTTTTCATTTCTGAACATCACAATATAGTTTTATTATGATATGTGTAATAAATTTGAAGAAAATAATAATAATTTTGTACTTTTCATTATTTTTGTTTAGGCCGAACGGGAACTTCGACAAAAACTCAAATCTGCATTTAAAACTTTCTGTGAGAAAGTGGAACAAATGACGAAACAAGAAGTTGAATTTGACAGTCCATTTAGAGATTTAGGATTTCCGGGTGTTCCGTTTCGAAGTACTGTATTGTTACAACCTACCTCATGTTGTCTCGTGAATCTTACAGATTGGGTGAGAACACTTATATTTATAATATTTAATTAAATGCATTTTTTAAATGATTTGGTTTGTTTTTATAAAAATGTTTTCATTTAAAATTTTAAAACATGGGAAAGTAGTTTTTTTTTTTTTTTTTTTTTTTTTTTTTAAGTTTTACTATATTAATTATTTTGAAACTGAATACTTTATTTTTCAGCCTCCATTTGTTATAACATTAGAAGATGTTGAACTTGTCCATTTTGAGCGTGTGCAGTTTCACTTAAAAAATTTTGATATGGTATTTGTCTTTAAAGACTACCATCGGAAAGTAGCTCTAGTAAATGCAATCCCCATGAATATGTTAGATCACGTTAAAGAGTGGTTAAAGTGAGTAAATGTTTTATGTTTGAATTATATCTATGTATTGATGTTAGAACTTTTTAAATAATCTGTAGCTAAATTAAAATTTGTATTTTAAAAATATATATATTGATAAAATAAACAATAATATTCCTTTTAGAAAAGAGAAATAATTAGTTAAAATTAATACTTTGGTTTACTTGCTACTATTTTGATGATAATTTATCACAGAAATATGAATGATGATTATTTGTTCTAGGTAAAATTAATTTTGCTTCATTAAATTTAAGAGAAGGGAAAAACATTTGTATTTTTTGTTTCTGAAAAGTTTCTCAGAAATTGAAAAACAGTAGATCTGAAATATTCAGAGAAAGTTTAATGAAAAGAGATTTCATTGGAATTATAAGATATAAAAATAACATAGAATAGCATTTGGAGTTTTTTTTCTGTGTAAACACTAAGAAAGTCTTTTTAATCATACTCATTGTGAGTGATCAGATGGTGAGAGATTAGGCATATTTGGGACGGGCACTCTATGAAGATTGTTGTCTTTCCTGTTCTGAACTTGAACTTTAATTCTCCAGAAAAATAGGTTTTTAATGCCTAGGCCACAGTATTTAAAAATCATGTTATTGAAGAGCATTTGAATGTTATTTTATCTCTTGTAATTTTGGATAATAAATTTGCTACATTCAGTCTCTATGCAGATATGTTCTGTCAAAAGTGCCATTTTTTTTTGGAGTTAAGTTTTTTAATACTTAACATGCTGTTTTTCAGTGCACTTTTATTTCATGTATTATATATCTTTTGACCGCATTAAAGCAGTTTTTGTTATTTGTATTATAAGCAAGGTTGAGGCTGAAGTTTTAAATGCATAAACATGTATGTCAGACATTCAGCACCGCTTTCCTGTAAGCCTAGAAGTTTGACAATGATGTTTGGAATGTTGAGCATGATTCCATTGACTATCCAAACACCATTGTCAAACTTCTAGGCTAACAGGAAAGAGGTGCTGAATGTCTGACATACACGTTTTCACATTTAAAACTTCGGCCTGAACCTCGCTATAATTGCATACTTGTTTCACGGAAACTATAATGGCTTGAAATAGAATAAATAAGACAAGTAATAAAGTTACCTTATATTTACAGTGTGGCTACTAAATATTTTAAATTAATTTATAATGGCTTATTGACAATGTGTCTGTTCATTTTAAATAAAAACTGTAAAATTCAATAAATTATGTAAAATTTTCATGGGAGGATTGAATAAGTAATTGATTATGTGTATTTATATATGTAATTATTATAATTACATAATTGTAATTAAAATATCTAAAAATTTCATTTTAATATAAGAAAAATATTGTGATAAAATTGCTGAGTTAAGCTTAGTAAATTTTCTTTGCTAATTGTTGGATTTTTATATAATTTGCTATAGAATAAGCTTTTATAATTGTAACATTTTCTTAATTAATAAATAAAATTTGGTTATTTTCAGTTCTTGTGATATCCGTTACACTGAAGGAATTCAGAGCTTGAATTGGACAAAAATAATGAAAACTATTACAGATGACCCAGAAGGGTTTTTTGACAATGGTGGGTGGTCATTTCTTGATCCAGATAGTGATGGCTCTGAAGGCGACGATGACGACGAAGAGGAGGAAGATGATCAGTATCAACCAAGTGATGAAGAAGAGGAGGAAGAAAGCAGCAGTGAAGAAGATTACAGTGGTTCTGATGTATCAGATGAGACTTCTGGTTTGTAATTGTTTAAAGTCTCTTACATATATTAATTATATAACTAGTTGCTAAAATAATAAATTTAATATTTATGGTATATTTGATTTTGATATTTAAATATTTTACAAAGAATGTATGTAGCAATGGTTTTACTATCCATTTTTTTCACTTATTCGATCATTGAATGTTTGAATTTCTTCATTATTAACAAAAATAACAGAAATCACATTTTCTTTTATAAATGTTGACCATGATGATTGTCAGTGATCAGTGTCAGTATTTTGTCAAATGATATCATGCTACTAACTTATGTTCAAAATGTTTCTGGAATCAGTCTATATGAGGGACATTGAAAAATTTTCCAGAAAGTTGTTATTACTCATAATTTCCTAGGATTCTGATGAGATGTTGCTCCTATATTTTCTTGAAGACAAAAGAACAATAATTGCAAGTGCTATGAAATAGTTTTAAGAAAACTAAATGCAGCTTTAAAAGAAAAATAACCTGAAAAAATCATCAGTGTGTCTTGTTTCATCATGATAACACATCAGCTTATTCTACCAGATCTACCAGAGCAGTATTGCATGATTACTGATAGGACATTTTTACATGCCCTCCATATAGTACAGGTCTAGCCAATCAGATGTTTTTATTCCCAAATTTAAAAAATGACATTAAAGGCTTTTGCTGTTAGTCAATAGATCAAGTGAAACATTTTATAGTGCAGTGGCTAGAATCAAAAAGCACTGATTTCTAGGGCTTAGAAAGGTAGCAATATGCATGGAAACATGTTTTAATTTAAAAGAAACATATGTCAAAAAATAAAGTGTTAAATTCAAGTTTTTTTATCTACCTCTTCTGAGAACTTTTTGGATGCCTCTCACAGTGAATTGTTTGACTGTTGTGCCTTCTGCAAGCCACTGACTGCAGATCTACTCTGGTTGCATATATTCCAAAGGTTGCCCTATACCTTTGAGATACCATTGATATTGACAAAACTGCATTAGTCTAGACACTTTTTGAATCTGGACTAATGCAGTTTTGAAAATGTAAGTTTTTTTTCTCTACATGCAGATTCCATAGAGTTTATCCACATAATTAACATGCATTATTTATGCAGTATTATTAGCATTTAATAAAATAGTGGAGATTTTGCCTACTATAACATTATTATTTTTCTCTGTTTACAAGAGATTTAATGTTAATGTGGAAAATATACTCACTCACTCACATGCTGCATATTGAAAAGCAACAAGGATAATTTTTATAACAATGGTTTATACAATAATATCCTAAATGAATTTCTATGCTCCTTAAGTTTCATATTAAGAGCTAGGATAGTCTGTTCTTGTCACAATTCTCATCTCATACTGATATATATTACAAATACAATTTGATGCTTTTGTAATATATCTAGTAGTTATCTTTTATACCAGTCTCTGAACATTTGAAAGAATATATTTAACACATTCATTCTATTAGGTTGTCAAGGATGAAATTTGTAGGTAATAATATTGCCAATCATTGAGTCTGACCCATCTCAGAGTGCCTATGAATTATCGTTGAAATTTGGTGTTAGCAAACAAACAATATTAACTCATTTAGTTCAAATCAGTAAAGTGAAAAAGTTGGATAAGTGGGTTCCACATGAACTGAGTGAAAAACAGAAACAAAAGCATTTGGATTCATTTTTTAATCAAATTGTCACTTGTGATGTGAAATGGATTCATTATGACAATCACAAACATTCAGCACAGTGGTTGGACAAGGATGAATCACCAAAACACACTCCAAAGCATAATATTCATCAAAAGAAGCTGATGGTGAGTGTTTGGTGGTCTAGCGCATGTGTGATCCATTATGATTTCATGAAACCTGACTCATTGATCACAGCAGAAATATACTGCAACCAACTGGACAAAATGATGCGAAAACTTAAAGAAAAGCAGCTTAGATCGATCAACAGATTAACTCCTATCTTATTGTATGATAATGCTAGACCACACAAATGACTGCAGCAAAACTACAGGAATTGGAATTGGAACTTCATCATCCTCCATACTCACCAGACCTAACCCCCACTGACTACCACTTCTTCCTCAATTTGGACAACTTTTTAATAGGAAAACAATTTAATTCCAACAATGCTGTAAAACTGGCCTTCCAGGAATTCATTGACTCTCATCCACCAGGGTTTTATACCACCAACATGAACAATCTGCCACTTAAATGGCAAAAGTGTATAGACAATATGAGTGCATACTTCGATGAATAAAATAATTCATTATATATGTAAGTTATCAACCAACTTTGCTTTTTTTTCCACAAACTTTACCCTTGACGACCCGATAGAATTGTTTGCTATGGTTAACAAAATACTATTAACATTTTGTTAATACAGTAGTTACAAACTAACTACATAAAAATTCTATATTGTGCATGTGTAAATTTTATCTATAACAACTAGATTTTTATATATCATAGTTATATCTTGTACAGCTTTTCAAAATAAGTTGTATTATTTTCTAAACATTGTGTTTCTGTTAAATTTTAAAATAACTTGGTTTATAATTGATTGATAGGCATGTTTAAGAAAAATAATTTAATATTTCTAAACCTTGATTTTAAGTTTTATATTGCTAAACTAATAACTTCTTTCCAACATCAAAGTTTTTAAAAGGCATTTTTATTTTATAGAAATTATAAATAACGAATGTTAATTAAATATTTTCAAACATTTTTTCTTAGAAAAATAATAAATTTCTGAAGAGATGACATTGAACTGAAAATAAAAATCTCATTAGAAAGAACATCTTTCAGAATTTTTATTAACAGTTTACTCTTATTTAAACAGAAAATTTCCAGTGAAACATTCAAATATGTGACTTTTTCATGACTTTTGAATGTTTTATTTGTAAATCTATTCTAAAGTTTTTTCTAGAATGAAATATATTTTGGCAAATATTAGCTTTCAGTTTATGAAATTTTCATCAAGCCCCCTTAAATTCTAATGCGTAGCTCATGATTCATCTGATTATTAAATCATTTAATGTTTGTTTACCAACTAAGCATTTTTTTGATTTCATATTACTGTAACATATCTACTATTTTATCTGTACATTTTTTAATTTCAAATTATTATTTTATATGATACTTTTTTTTCTTGAAATATTTTTAAGGGTACTTTCAGGAAATATTTGTAATAAACACTAACATAACTATCATTTGTAGTCACTACAAATGATATTTGTATTAATTTAATTTTTCTAATAGATACTACTTTATAATAATTTGATTTTTTTCATAATGTTGAAAAACAAACAAAAATACTTCAAAAAATTAATAATTAAAAAAGCAGTACTTTTAATATTAAAAACAAAAATTTAAATACTTATAATTTAATAAAAAAAATATATATTTAAAACTGAAATTTGTTAACAAAATATCAATTTTAGAAGCTGACATGGGAAGTAGCGAAGAAAGTGGAAAAGATTGGTCCGAACTAGAGGAGGAAGCAGCAAGAGGTAAATAAATAAATTAAATATATTTTTATTGTGTTGTATTTGTTAATGTTGTTATTGTCCATAAATTTTTAATAAAATATATAGTTTTAAAGATTTTAAAATTAATTCTGTATGAAAAAATGAAAATTTCAACTTTAAGTCTTCTCTGATGTAATTTTAACTAATCAAAGGTTTAATTAATAAATTAATATATTTGGAAGAACGTACCCTTATTCTCAGAAGAACACAAATATAGAAAAAAGTTTTGTTATGTTAAATTTAAACTGTCTAGGAAAAAACTTACATTTGACTTCATTACATACTGATAATAACAAAGCTAATTTCAGGATTTAAGTAGAATTTGGTAATAAATGTTTTATTTGTGAAGTACATTGTCTAATGGTTATTAAATGTGAAAATATTTTATATATTGACATTTTCAATAGATGTGTAGAATCATATATTATACTAAAAAATTAAAATTATTATATTCAAATTCCGAATGACACGAAAAATTGAATATAATTGTTATTAAAATTTTTTATTAAGAGAACTGTGTGTATTTTTAGCTGACAGGGAACACGGAGAGTTTGAAGACGAATATACAAAACGATCGAAGGGGATGCAAAAATCTAGCAGTAGTAGTATATCATCCAGAAACAAAAAAAGTCATGACGATGCGAAATCACACAACAGTCCAAGAAGTAAAGACAAAAGTCCACGTAAATTAAAACATCACAGTGTCAGTCCCAGAAACAGGCCCAAATCTTCAATGAAAAGTTCGATGAAAAGTTCAATGAAGAGTTCAATGAAAAGCTCAATGAAGAGTTCAATGAAGAGTTCGATGAAAAGTCCGGGAAAAAGTCCAGTTAAAAGTCCAGTAAGAAGTCCACAAAAGAATCATAAAAGACATTTTGAAGGCTCAAGTGGTGGTGATTTGAAGAGAAAAAAGTTAAAGAAAAAAGCATAAAAGGTTAGTGGAACAATTCTTAATTTGTGTTCTGTATCATCTAATTACAAATTTAAAAATTAATTTTTTAATTTATTTAAATTAAATCTGTTTTTAAATATATAAATTTGATATAGTATGTATGCAATTCTAATATATTTTTGTGTCGATAATCCACAACGGCACAACTCGGTCTAAATCAAGGATGGTAGGCCTTTTTTACAGGCAGGTTTGTAAATGGGCACAAATTTTTTGGTGGGCTACTGTCCTACCACCCCTACATCTGGTTTAAATTAGTAGTTAAAGATAAACTAAATAACATTAAAAGTAAACAAAGATATAATAAAACAAAAACATTAAAATATGTTAGGTGAATGTAAAAACAAATATTAAATAAGCCACTAGCATTAGTTTGAAAGTGTCAAAATATTAAAAACATTTTTATTGAAAGAACAAAAAACTTGAAAGTCTTAATTTAAAAAATAAAGAATTCAAATTTAAAATCCACTCTTTGAGGTTGATAACAGAAGCAGATTGTCACATTGAGCATCTGTCAATACAGATTGGTACTCATTTTTAACAAAGTTCATTGCTGAAATTATTCTGTGTGTGTGTGAAATTATTCACACACACAGAAGATTAATTAATTTAAAAAAGGATTGTGTAAATTGCATAGTAATTCTAAGGCAATATATAAGTTTTCCATTTCTCCCAAGCACAAGGATAATGAAAGGGGATCATTTTTAGATTTAGCAAAACATATTTTAAAAATTTCTGTAAAGGATAAAAATCAAAATTGCATAAATTAAAGTGAACACACTGTGTTCTTTACACAACAATTAATATTGGAAAAACGTGGCAATTATTGATGTGCAGTTTAAAAAGTACCGTCTCAGATTTGCAGTTTTTCCTGGTGTTACTTCTTCATTTATAAAATAGGAGAAAAATGTGATATTTGAGATGGAATCTAGTAACTGCAGAAATGACAAAAGAGAGAGAGAGGATTGAAAGTCTAGTGACATATTTAGATATGGCTGCTGCATATGCTTTTGATTTTGGACAAAGGTAAACTCTTTGTATTATTTTATAATAAACTAGCTGCAAGGACCCACTTCACTGGGTTTTTAAAAAGTAACGATAGTGAAGATTAAGATAATTACGTTATAGCCAATCTTACCCGTTTTCACAGAATGCAAGAATTAGGTTCCCCATTTCCAGACTAATTAGAGAATTTTTACGTTTAGTCAAACGAACAAATTTCAACGTTTCTGGAACGTTTTCAATCATTCTATAATCGAACCAATATTCAAATTTTATGTTCGAATTTAATTCGAATTTGTTCGAACAAATTCGAACAAAACATTCGAAATAGAAAGCCACTTTCAACCACTTTCAGCCTCATATCTCCCGCACCCTTATAGCTATCGAGACGCAACCACCCCTATGCACGAATGGAGACTTGGGGCTACCACCACATACAAACACCATTCACGTGCGATGTGTAGTTTTGGTGGAAAAGTGAAATATAGGGACATACAGGTCCATTTATATATATATAGATTACAAGTTGTCTAAAAGTCATCAGTTAACATTCCTAATTGGGCTGCAATTTGAAAAAATTGTAGACCTATAAATTCTCACTGTCATTCGTTTGTCTGTCTTTCTTTAATCTCGAAAACAGTGTTAGATAAATGAAATTCAAGAGCAGATATGGAAGTGTAGAGATTAACTATATACTAACTTCCGGTATAAACCGGAAGACATGTTATTTCAATTTAAAATTTTCCCTGAAAGAAATTATATGATTAGCATAACTCAGGTGCTAACAGGAAAAGTATGATGTAAGACACAGGGCAAGACACTACCTTACTAATTTGAAGGTGAAGAGGATATATTTTAAATTAAATAAATTAAAAATATGATCAAAAACTTGCAGCCATACACGGTGACCATGTCACAATAAATAATTGCTGGTTTCAAGTTGATTTTTCGTGGATTATCTGCACAAAAATATGGTAATATGTAAAATGAAATCAGAAAATTCAAGATTCCAGAAATTTTTATCTCAAATCAGTCTGTCATATGATTGTAAATATCCAAAAGTAATTGTCAAATACATTTAATTAAAACTAGTTTTTGTCAACAGGTAAGAAGAAAAGTTTCAGCTCGTTGCTGTAGTACATTCCAAGCGTGACTCAACAGGATGGGGTTATTCGAGTTGGTACGATTCTTCGTCTCGAGAATAATTTTAATTCCTGTTCAAACAAGCTTGGATTAATAATCAGAACTTATTTCATTGGCACTGTACAGTCATGCGGTATATTGCATTGCATGGACGAGAATCGCTCGTCCCGCTGGGAAACAATCATCATTGGCAGTTTACGACCGAGAAGTGAAGTCATTAAGTTCAAAACTTTTAACCGGGCTGCGTCGGCACCAAAAAACTGATATTTAATGGCTTCGCCATTCTTTAATGATTCCATAAGGATGTGTCTTATGGTGTTGTTGTACACAGTCGATCTGCAATGATTTTCTTAATGCTGCTCTTATCATCGTCATTCTCAACCACTTAGTTTAAATAAATAGGTGAACTTTTATTTGCCGTTTCATTCTTTATTTACTTTATTACGAATTTTTCTATGTGTAAAAACGTTTCTAATTGTTTTGTACAGCCGAAAGTTTCGTTTATAAATTTTGAATTTTACTCAGGACCAACGTTAGTTTTTGTTTGTTTTTTTTTCCTCGTTTCCAACAAATAATTTTATATTAAAATATTTTCGTATACTCGAATGGGGAATTATCCAAAATATGAAACGATCTCCGTCATTGGCATTCGTTTACGAATCTACCATTCACCGTTTCAAGTAACATATTTAACTGTCGGTGACAACTGTATATGCTTTTTTTTATAATAAAATTTTAAGTGAAATAAAGCTCTGATTAATAAAGTTGTGTTTCGTATTTAACATCCAATCATAGTATTTTCCAAAATCGAAATGTTGTATGGCCATTCAAAATTTTCTTTTGTCCAGTTTGTTTTCGCATTTTCGGAGGAAAATAATGTTCTGTTCTATTGTTTAGTTGTGTATATTCTCTTTTAAATTTAACTTTTAATATATTTGATCAGGTTACGCTAAATTTTGGTATAGTTATTGCGAGAAAAATTAAATTTATATCCTAAAATTGAAACAATAGATATGGGTACGTTTGTGTGTGTTTACCATACTCGGTTCCAATATATCTGGTAAAGCTTACTGCCCCACTGGCAAGAAAGTGAAGACAAGTGTCGAAATTCATCTCCACTAGGCCGGATGGCCGAGAGGTCAAGGTTGCAGCCTATTGCTCTGGGGACCCGGGATCGGACGGGTCAAATAATCCCCAGGAATTTTTGGGGGGTGGGTGATCTGTTTGGATATGTTGGGCCTAGTCGAACCCATAATGGGCTTGCAAAAATAGGCCCTCTTAGTGTCCACAGGGCGGAAAGAGTTTAAAAAAAAAATTATTCCCACCAGTCACCGGTGTTCCGGACCGGTTAAAATACAAACCGAGATCGGATTCGACCATCCACGATAAATGGCCAAACTACTACGGTTAATCGAGAGTCGGATCGGATTCAAATTTAAATCCTTCGGAATTAAATCATAAAGGTAAGGTGTCAACCATTATAGGTATCTGACTGAATCTAATCCGGATCTTTCTAACTTATTATGGAACACGTTTGTTTACCATTCTTTGGCCGTGCCGATTAAATTTCGTTGTACGTCAGACTTGTTTATGGTGGTCAAATTTGTGACCATATCTTGTTGGACGATATCAATTTTCACCGTGATAAACCGATTACACCACTAGTTATGCAATAAAATGTCGGCCTTATAGTGTAACTGACTGATCTAGAATTTGTTGAATGAGGTGGAAAATTAAACCCAACAAAAAGTTTGATTCCTCATCGTTGTAATTGAAGATTACGATCGTTTTTATCTCTGTTCGACTGGATCACGCGGGATTTTGTACCCAGTTGAGTTAAATTATGGGAATGATAATCGGATCACCGAATGATATGTTCGTAATATCGAAGCCAAACTTTAAAACAATTGCTCTTTTACGTTGTGACGAAGAACACCAAAGTAAAGGAATCCGTTGCATCGAATGGCACGGGTTCGATCCCGTTCGGGAATTAGATAAATCGATGCAAGAATCCAACGCTCGTTGCCCGATCATTGGTACCGAGTCCATTTCTGGTGGTTGTCGACGTCGGGCCTGCGAGGATTTGAATAGACCCGGTAAAGTCCATAATGGACATGGAAAAGGTAGGCAATGTTTACCTCCATTCATCCAATGCATTGCAAGAATTACAAATTTCACCATACAATTGGAAGAATGGATCAATGTTTGGTCCTAATTGGAGAAAAATATATTAATCTCTACAACCCGTGTGTGGAACACGTTTTACTGCAATACAATTAAAGTACTCGGTAATAACAACTGTATTTAATTTGTTATAACAGAAGGCGCAGATGGTGCGATATTCCTTCAACAGCACTCCGCTAGACAAATATTTTCCATTATTTTGACTTCTGTTGAATGCGAGTATTATTAAAAATATTAATCGATTGTTGTTATTTGTAACTTAAAACATTTTATAGAGCAATTCGAATTAATTTTAAAAAATTATCCTGCGTAGCTATTCCATGTAACGGGCGCCGCCATATTTATTCCTCGTTACCTATAGCGTACCAAGAATGCCATACGTTATAAGGATCAAATATGGAGACTTTCGTATTTTAATACACAGATGAAGGCGAACATCCACCATCTTCCTTACCGTACATACTATTAAAAAATTCAGACGTTATAACTACAGTAGACCAGATAGCGAGAAAAGTCGGATAAAATATACGGTGTTTTAATTACTTCCTATCCCTCGAGTACCATAATGGATAGGATTTGAGGTTCTGTAGTTCTGTTGGAGTGCCACGTGCTACAAAACCAAATTAGATTATTGTAAATACCGGCACGGGGATGACCGAGATGGTAAAGTCGTCAATCTGCTGCCTCGGCTAGAGACTTTAGAGGCGTCTTCGATCACGCCTGGTGGCCTTTTATCCTGCACACATTACATACCCATCACTGCCTCAAAATCTTTACAAACAGCTTCAGTCCTATCTTAGCACCAGGAGTGCAGGTATTTATATCAACACAACACAAAATAACATAGTCATACCCATCACTCGAAGCTGTCCTCGGGGATCCAGGTCTGGTCCTGGTCTCTGCAACATACTTTATAACTCTATTCTGCACTTAAATGATATCCTAGGGTGAAGATGCCTATTATGAGATAGCAAGGTTTTGGCCAAAGTATTAACGGCAAGCATTTGGCGCTAGTGTCGCCCGAAGCGTCCTGACAACAGCTGCAAACGTGTGTCAGTGCGCGCCAGCCAGAGGCGCTGTTAGAACGTGGACGTGCGGATTTTCATGGAAGCACAAAAATTTTTTGACATTAAATGTTCACGAGGTATGTAACAACGCTATTATTACGCTAAATTCTTTTAATTTACATTCATCGTATCAATTATACGGTCAATTTCACGATATTAGTGCGGTACTATTGTTTTCTTTGTCAGCAAAAAGGTAGGTAGCCGTTTTGTAAGATTTGGATGTGTTCTCAATATGAAACACGTGGGGGTTCCTAAAATGAGATCTCATTTCATATGTGAGGCGAAAGTATACGTATAAGTTTAAGTTCTTTTTTATATATATATTTTAGATGGCCCCAATTAAAAGGAAAACCTGGGACCACTGTGCCATGATACGAGCCGTGAATGCAGTGAAGAGTAACCCTAGAGTGCTACGTCAAGAAGGATGCCCATGCTGAAGTACTTGTAAAGGTTCGTATGGGGAGACGTCCAGCCTTGCCTGACCATTTAGAAGTAGAGCTGGAAAAATATTGCAAAGAAATGGATCGACGATTTTATGGCTTACGTCTGAAGGATATTAAGTACTGTACACGGCGTTTCAATTGGCTATCAAAAATAATCTTAACACCCCTTCAGCTTGTCTAAAGCGTCTGTTGACAAAAAGTGGCTACGTGGTTATATGAGAAGGCATCCTGCTTCATCAGTTAGAACACCTGAAGCAGTTTCTGCTGCAAGAGTGAAAGGGTTAAACCCTGTTTCCGTCATAATTTCTTTGACTTATACGAGCCAGAAATTGAAAAGATAAAATACTCTGCATATAGAGTGTACAACGTTGATGAGACCGGAATAACAGTAGTACAACATAAACGGTCCAAAGTCAACAGCATGAAAGGCAAGCAAAATGTTGGTGCGTTGACATCATTGAAAAGAGGCAAACTAATAACCGTAGTGACGTGCGTGAACGCTTGTGGTATCTACTCGCCACCATTGATAATTTTTCCAAGGAAAAATATGGGTCAAGAACTAATGGATGGTGCGCCTGCAGGTTCAATAGGCGATTATCATCCCTCTGGTTGGATCCAAACACATCAATTTACAAAGTGGTTTCAACATTTTATAAATTTTGTAAAACCAAATGAAGATGATCCAGTTATTTTAATTTTAGATGGCCACTACGCACATACACGCAACATCGATGTAATAAATTTAGCTCGAGAAAATAATGTAGCTATTGTTTGCTCACCGCCACATTGCACGCACAGAATGCAGCCCATTGGTGTGGCGTTTATAAAACCACTGAAAGCTTTTACGCCCAAGAAATTGAAACATGTCTGCGAAAAACCCAGGACGCGCACTGACCAACAAATGCATAGCTAGATTATTTGGCATTGCTTATGGAAAAGCTGCAACTATGAGTAACTTCGTCAATGGTTTTCGGTAAACTGGATTGTTGCCTTGCAATCGCCATATTTTTACAGATGAAGATTTTTCAATTTTTAATGATGAAGATCAACGTAGAGATGTACTGAATGACCAGACAATAAACCAGGCATGGCCAACATACGGCCCGCGGGCTAGATCCGGCCCGTCTAATGAATTTATGTGGCCCGCGATCAATCTTTCAATATTAGCTACTGAAGTCCAAATAGCTCGATGAAAAATTCTGACGGCTAAAAAAAAAAGAAAAAGGTCAACAACTCACTGTGCGTTTAGAGTTAACCCTCCATTACAAATCTCTTAAGTACAGCGTAAAATGTTGATAAAGCATGTGATAATGTGAAAAATGTATCTGTAATCTCTATCTGCAATTTAGTCTCTACGGGGTGATACCACAATGAGATCTCGCACCACCTCAAAATCTTCCTCGGGCATCCTCTGGTTCGGCCCGTGGAAAAAGTTTTCTTTCCAATTCGGCCCGGGGACAAAAACTGTTGGCCACCCCTGGACTAGACCTTTCCAGACACGCCACATTTCACCTGATCATGGAGTGTCAAACGAGAATCATGGAGATCAGAGAGCAGAACGCTGTGTAACCCCTTCAAATGGAAATCCTGATGAGAATCACGCAAAGAATAATAATAAGAAAGTTGCAAAGAAAAAGAAAATTAAAGAGCCGGACAGTTCCAGTTCTGAAGATAATGTCGTAGCGGAGCTCGCAGATAACAGTAGTGATGATGAATCATATGATGCTGAATGTCCATACTGCAGTGGGAGGTTCACGGAAGACACGAGAGGAGAAAAATGGGCCAAGTAAACTCATGAGGATTGTGGACAAGTAACGGAAAATCTTTTTTTTTTTGTTCTTTATGTTTAGATATGTAAGATTTGGAATCCTTTTGAAGTGATCTTTACGCAATCTATATTTGTTGATTTTTGATATTGTTTCAAAAGTGCCATTATGAAAATCGCTGTGATTATATTTTGAGGCTGACATAGATTAAATCTATTTTTGATCTTTGANAAAAATTAAAATTATTATATTCAAATTCCGAATGACACGAAAAATTGAATATAATTGTTATTAAAATTTTTTATTAAGAGAACTGTGTGTATTTTTAGCTGACAGGGAA